CACACACAGCTTTTCTCTCTCCCTCTCCCAACTCCTTCCCTGCTGTAAGTTTGTTCACTCCCTCACTTCATTCCCCTGTTCTCATAATAGCACACATTTATATAGTTTACAGTTCACAAACAGTTCATTCTCCCCGCAGTCCGGACAGGTATGGACCACCTATCAGACCCATTTCATGGTGTTGCAGTTAAGGCTTGGAGACTTACAGTGGCCCAGCCATCAACTTTCTCATTCCTGGGAGGGGTCTTTGGTTCTCTGCCTGGCTGTTAGGAGACCTTACATGTTTATGGAGACAGAGTGGTGCAGATCTGAAGACAGGTTAGGGAGCAGTTCTGTTCCTCACCGGATCACGAGGAAAACCCAAGTGTCCTGATGTCCAATGTATGAGAAGTTCTGTTAACCACTTTCCCCCCCCACACACACAAACACAATATTTATGCATGTACTCAGTATAGGGAGACAAAAAGGAACAAATTCTTAAAAAGAGCCAGCAGGACTATAAGGAATTCTTTGTACAATTTGGTTCTAAAAGAGCAAGTCACTGCTTTTCTTTTTCTGTCTCATGTAAATATGTGATCCACTGCAAATAATGAAAGAATGAAGCCTGTGGGAAATTCCTTGTCTGCCACTGTGTGGCTACTTTAATGGCATGGAGGGGCTGAGAAAGTCCAGGGTTTCAAAGCTTTGGTACAATTAACAATAATTAACAAGCTATAATTATCTCCAGCTCCTCTGTGAAAGCACAGTTTATATGTTCAGAATTTAAAGAATACCAGCAGTAGCACAAGGGTGTTAACACATGAAAGCCAGCCAGGCCTCTACCCCATTAATTTTCAAGCAGTTCCTGAGGGGGTAGGTAGAAATGTATTATTCTCTGTTTTCAGGTAGAGAAAGCAGTGTGTGTGTGTGTGTGGGGGGGGGGGCAGATTTCTTACCAGCAAGCATCAGGTGTTGTGAGAATACTCCACTCCATATGTTGGCCTAGTCAGGTGTTCCAGTTTCTTTTCCCCTTTCCTACCCCCAGAGAAGGCTTTCTAAATCTCAAACCTGTCCCCATCTCCTCTGCTGAGAACCCTTCAGGCACAGAGTGGAAGGTGCTCTTGGCTCCTAAGATGAGCTTCATACTATTCAAGTTAGCACACAAAATCTTGTGTGACCTTGGGCAAGCTACTTAACTTCTCTGTGCCTTAGTTGCCTCATCTGTAAAATGAAGGTAATAAAAGTATCTATCAAACAAGGTAGGTGCGAAAATGAACGTAGATACCTGCTTAGAACAGTTTCTGTTCTAACAGTATGTGTTTAGTAAGCGTAGATAAGTGTTAGCTGCTGTCATGGTCACCATCATAATCATCAACTCCATCTTTCTCCTGCCGGCCTCTCTAGCCTTCCTCGTGTTAAGGCTTTGTGAAGTCACCTACCTGGAATTTCCCCTTCTTTCTCTATGTAGTACATAATTGTGTTGTTTGCCTCGGCCCTTGGGTCACCACCAGAATGCCTTCCCTGAATGTCCTACCTATTGCACTCAGGGGAGGCCTCCTTCTCTGTACTTTCCTAACTCCTGTAACATACTAGAATGGCAACACTAACTTATCTGGACTTCTGTTTTTTCATCTAAAATTGAAATAATAGCATCTATCTATGTCATAGGTCGTTCAGAGAATCAAATCTGAATAGATGAGATAGTAGATACCAAAGCTTTGTAAATTGTACGACTTGGTAAAAACGTTAGCTAGGTCACATTTTTATTTTTAAAATATGTAGGCTATTTTCTCACTTTTCCAGCTGCTGACTAGGTAGTTGAAATCCACTGTAACTGGTAGAGCTGCCTGCTTGATATTCCAGTGGATCCCAGGCTGACAAGAGGAAGCGGATGGGTTCTCAGGACTGGGGAATGCGCACAATGTTGTCTCTGACTCCTTAGCTGGGACAGCCCCACATGGCTGGGCCTTACTTGGGCTAGTGCTCTGAGCTCTCCAGACCTCTGCCTTTTTCCATTCATGTTCAGTGTTGGGAGGAAGCGAATAAAACGTTTCTGTCCTCAGTATCCTCAATGGAAGACGGAGTGAACCAAAAAATGACCACCCCACCCCACCACTTTCTTAAATTCTGTGATTCTACCAGGCTTTCCCCAATAGGCTCTCCCTCTCCTTTCGTCTGTTCCTGCTTAGGTGTGCAAAATATCACCGTTAGCTTTATATCTTTTTATTTAATTTTAATTTTTAAATAATTGATGAAAGCATTCCATAAACATGGAGTTGTCAAGTGTCTATCAAGGGCAGGAACCACATCTGAGCACTGTAGCCCAAGCACCAGCATATATTAGGCACTTCAGTAATGTTTATTGGGTTAATTACCATTGAGTTGTCCCCAGAATGTTGCAATATCAATATACTTTTCTAGGAGTGTTCTTATTTTTCTCCTTTAATATATCTTTATTGATTTCACAGAGAGGAAGGGAGAGGGAGAGAGAGAGGGAGAGAGAGAGAAACATCAATGATGAGAGAGTTATTGATTGGCTGTCTTCTGGACGCCACCAATTGGGGATCAAGCCCGCAACCCAGGCATGTGTCCTGACCGGGAATCGAACCGTGATCTCCTAGATCCTAGGTCCATGCTCAACCACTGAGCCATGCCCAGCCAGGCCCTAAGAGTGTTCTTGTTGACCCTTTCGATACTTCTCTCCTTGGCTGATTCTTATCTCTTACCCCACCCACAAGTTTCTATTCCCTCCCTAACTACCCTCCAAACACCTAATTTCAAGGGAGACTGGGTAATGATACCCTGAGTGTTATTTTTGCTTTTATGCACAATCCAGGACTTTTATCAGCCTTGTGACTGTAGGGAGGAGGGATGTGGTCTGATGAGGCTAAGAGCAGGAGGGGATTCTGGAGGCAAGCAGCGTAGTGTAGTTGGAAGAAAATGGACTTTGGATCTAGTGAGACTTTGCCTCAAGATCTGGCTTTACATCGTTCATTCACTGACTGTGAGTTTGAACAAGTTACTTCATCTTTCTGAGCTTTAGTTTGCTTAATTATAAAATAGGGGCAATAATGCCTACATTTCCCCAACATCTGTAAAAAGGATGGCTTCCCATCTCGTTATTAAAAGCATGCTTTTTCCCCATTGAACTTTATACTTCATCTATTCTTGGGCTGTTTTCTGGACTGGTGTTGATTATCTGATTTTCTTTGTTATAAGATCAATACCAACACATCAGTTTTATATTTAAGGGTGTGATTTGCAAAAACAAAAATAAAACTGTGTTTAATTAAAAAAATACTTACCATCCATAATTATTTTAATGAATCAAGATAAAGAAAATACTAGACACAGTGTTTGGCATATACTAAGTAGGATTAATTTTAGCTATTGTTATCAGCTGTCTCAGGAATGTGAGGATGCTTTTAGACTATTGAAGGTTTCTGCATAAAGCTGGTGGCCGTGGGGATTGCTGAAGGTCAGGTCCAAGAATCTGGGCATTAGGGAGGGGAGCTGCCTGAGAGCCCTCATTGTCTGGACCCCCAAAGACTCAGGAATATGGAGACTATCTAGATGCAGATAGTGCCTTAACATTTCTACTCCCATTATCTGCTGAAATCCCCACAACACCTCCAGGGAGTAGGCAGGGAAGATATTATTATTTCTATTTTACAGATGTGGAAACAGAGGCCTTGGGAGGAGAAGGGAAGGACTTGCTCATGGTCACATGCTTATAAGTGGTGAGGCCAGGCCTAGAATCAGGTCTCCTGACTGCAGATGGACATCTAAATTAACAAAAATGGAAGAGAATTGGAAGGGTGAGGAGTTTAGAGCCTCATCTCATATCCCTCAGGTTTTCTTTATTTTTCTTTCTTTCCCTGAATTGTACAAATATTTTTTATAAAGTTTTGGTTTCATGAAGAGCAAACAATAGCTGATTGTGTAGGGCACCACAAGAGTGAGCCCACACCTGAAAGCCGTAGGGCTTATGCCACTAGCCACCAGTTCCCCTGCACTGAAGTGGAAGTGGTCCCTGCTGCCTGTTTTCCTGCAGCTGGGAAACAGTTTGCATTCTGTGCCACCAGGCCATGGGCAGGTCCTTTGCTTGGTTTCCTTTCTTGTAGAACAGGGACAATGGTTCTCTCTCAGAGGCATTGTGGGGATTCAGGGGTGGAATGTGTGTGAAGCTACCTGGAAAGAGCCCTCGCTCTTTTGTCTGGCCTGACCACAGTCGGCTTCAGTCTCTGTAGGGAGCAGTCACTGGGACAGTGGGCAGTGCCACTGAGATAGTGGGCAGCCAGGGTTTCCCTCCCGCCTTACAGAGAGGTGGCGGCCTGAGAGGAAGCAGGTGATCCTTCAGCTGGAATGCAGGAAATGCAGAGAAGTGGGCTGTGGTGATGGTGAGCTCAGGATGGAGGCAGGAGGCCC